ATTAAAAGAATACTACGTTATTTATTTCTTCGATGCACTTAGAACCTCAAATGGAATAATACTTTTCGCTCTTATAGGTATATAGGTGGAAAACCGCTTTAAAACTAATATTTCTGGGATTTAAATATCAATAGCTTTGCATATATTAATATAGAGTGCGAAAAAATATGAAGGCGCTCGTATCGCTGCTGTGCTTCTAGCGCGCTTACAAAATTTTATTGCTGAAATGCATAGAATATATATTTTAAAATGACCTTTCTAAAATTCATCTTAATACCATTAGGTTTAAATTAAACGTTACAATTCGTTAAAGCTATGTAACTTACTTTATAATATTTTTAGAAATAGGTAGAAACATGTAACTAGCACGTATCACGGTAAGCAGCTTCGGCACGTTTATTATAAACAGAGTCTGTAAAACTGGCAAAGGCCAATTTAAAAACTATACGTTCCTTTCGCGAAGCCAAGAAGAAAGCTACAGGTTCTGATGGAACAAATACGAGTGTATAATAAACTTTCAATTCCCGAGAGAAATGCGCTTGTTGTGTAAAAGCCTTTCAATTAGAAATCAAATCGCAACAACAATATTTACTTTTTGAACAAAAGAAGTCGAAAGTAACAATACCTTGAACAAAGTTCGTTTCGAACTTTAAGAGTTGCCAAAAGTTGGAATTACGCCCCAAAGTGCAATATATTTAACTTTGTAAGCTATAGTACATGTTTTCCTGAATACGAAATATCTATATAAATTGGTCTGCAATCCAGAAGATGGATTGAAAAAACTTATATTGTCCAGAGATTTTCAACGTATACGTAATAAAAACAAATATTTACAATTTTGTTTGAAAAATAAGTTTTTCCTTTTGGGGACTTCCTAGTATTTACAGGGAGGCCCATTAGTTCGAGGTCCAATATAGTCGTTGTTGACAAAAAAAAAGTTTTATACAAATGCTGCATGGTTTATAATGATGCATATTCTGAAAATGTTTTGTTGTATACAGGGTGTCTTAAGGAAAAGTTACAATAAGTTTTTTTTTAAATTGCCCCCCCCCCCCCCATTTTTCTATTCATAACAATCACTATTTTTTATTGGAAGCACTATGTGGTCTTCCCATTCTATTTCATTTTTATTAAAACTTTGGCTATAAACATTATATTCGAAAAGTGGTTAAAAACTGGAGTGAAAACAAATTTATTAATACTTTGCTCTATTTTCGTAAACACCAAGGATAATACAATAAACCCGCGAAGAAAAATTTACATTATCCTATACAGGGTATATTTATGGCATCGCCAAAATCGTTATATTTAAAGTGCTATATCTATACTTTTTTTAAAAGTAATGCCCTGTATATTATTTTTCGTTTAGACAATTTCTGTATTTGAAGTGTTGAATTGTTTGAAATTTTTAGAGTTTTTGCAGATATTCGCTGTATTATATTACATATGGGGTTTTCAACGGTAAAATATACCAGACAGAGATCTATAAGTGGCTTTATTCTAATATTTATTCTGTAATTCTACATCCAGAAGAAAAGTAATACACAGGGTGTTGCATTAAAAAAAATGAGATATAACATTTTAAATACTGCGATGTTAGCATAAAAATTACCCTGTATAATATAATGTAAATTTTCCTTTGCAGGTTTATTCCGTTATTTCTTGGTGTAATATCAGTATAATCATAAATATGGGGGGGAGGGGGTGTAAAAGATTACCAATAATTTAAACAGTCAGTCTAAAAAGTGAACATTCATGATATTGGTTTTATGTGAAAAATATGAAGTATATGAAAATTTTGTTTTCTATTTATTTCATGTGTCAAAATTGTATTAATATTCATACCAATAGAATACTTTATAAATTTAGTTTTAAAATTGTTTAAAAGAATTTTTATACAAATTCTGCCGCCAGACTATCGCAAAGAAAATTTGAAAAATAAGACCTTCTTTAAATAAAGAATATAAAGCCAGTTTCAAATGGTGTCTTGCATGACACATTTTCTTTTTCAAATTCCACTACTGCAATAAAAACAAGGGGAAAAACAAAAAAGTATAAATACGTTTGATTTTCCTGTTTTTGAAACACATAAAGGTTGATTTATTTATTTATTTTATTATTGTTTCAATTGGAGATAATAATATAGTTCTGAAATTATATTCAAACTGTTGCTTAATATATATTTCTTTATTTTTACACGTAATGTATAGAGCACACAAATAACGTTTAACAAAATTCTACATAATTAAAAATGAAGAAGAAGTTACTGTTTTCAAATATTGTAGTTATCGCAATAATAATTATTCATCTATAATAATAATAAAAGTTTTAAAAATCCATTAAGAAGATACTATAACTTTCATAAAATAATATTTATATAAAATGTGAATCGTAACACACTCGGTTATGACTTCGTTTGTATGAAAACATATTGAAGGTCAGTGTTGGTAAATGAACTCTTCGACCTTTTTGGACCTACCTATTAGTTATTTTTAAATATATACCAACAATCTAATCTGTTTTTTATAAAAGTTGCATCTTTTTATGGGCATATACTTAAATATCAATGATTTTGGATATTTCTAACCTTTCTGAATATCACCGGTCAAGCGTTTAAAATTACTTTCTGAAGTGTGAAAAAACAGTTAAAAAGCTTTAGTTTAGTGCCATACATTGTTATATATTTTACTAAAGTTGAAAAATACTATGTATAGACTGCAAGGTACTGTTAGTGTTAGTGCAACTATCTTTGACTTCAATCAAATACATGTTGAGTTGAGTTTTTGCATCGAGAAAAATTAGTAAGAAAATAATCGTCAGTATTTAGTAGTGAATGTGTAAATGTATTTATTATTTAATTATACTGCAAAACTTAAAAAAACTGCTGTATATTATGCCAAAGGAAATAATTAGAACGACCGAAAATTACTGAAAAAAAACTTGCTAAAATCTGAGAAGAAAAAGCAGACGGTGGTCCCCTGTAGCAAGATGACTAGCATTTTAAATTAAACATGATCTCATTTACACGGAAACTGGCAAAGTTAAGTCGTTTAGACGTATTTCGCAGGGCGTATGCTCCGCGTTTTGTGAATATGCAAAGATAAATACCTAACTAAGGGAAGCGGGCAATTTCAGCACTATAGAAGCCCCAGTGTTGTATTAAGGGGATGTTATCAAAATATACGCCCTAATTGCTAATAATATACTCTTGTTTCGGTGATACAATTTGTCTTAAGTCCGATAGGCGTTTCTTGTTGAATCATCTTTCTTCTTACGCAATTATATATCTTTGTTTCTTTTACAGTCAGTAAAATATAGAAATAAAAACTTTTCTGACTTAGATCGTCTTTTCTTTGCAAAACGTTTCGGCACTGCCTAACCTAACCATCACGTATAGCACAATGCCATGCTCTAATATACTAAGCTCACTAGTTTTAGAATTTAGGTGAGTTGTGATACATCTTTTCGAAAAAACTTGCTTTAAAACTAAAGACAATGTCAGTCCAAAAATACATTTTAATTTATAAATCATCATTCTCTACTACAGTCTACTACTTTCAACCAGAAGTTTTATACATTTATTTTTTTCCTGAAGAAAGAAAGAGTTTTATTAGACAATGTAGGTTTATACAAAAAGTTCAGATAGTTCTTACTCAAAACCGAACGGAAGTATTAAAGAATTCTATAAAAAATTCATCACCCCCGTATACACGACTCTCCATGGTAACATTCTAGAATCCTACAGGAGCTGACTTAGAAATTTACTCCAGAATATTTCAATGCCTATGATATCACACAAAGAAAAAATTAAAGTAAATGAAGTTATATCCAATCATTTTTTTATTATTTAGTAGGTAGGTATTAATATTATTTTTAGTTCAAGAGCGGTTTCAAGAGCTTTTAGTTCAAGTTAGAACACTAGTTCACTACAATACACCAGAACACTTTTTATTTAACAATCGACGCGTGTTTCGCCAACCATTTTTTTCATCAAACTAGTTAGTTTTGTTGGTAAACTCCCGTCCAGTGTTAAAGAGAAAGTTACTAAGGGCTAAGTGGTATGTTAAGTTACTCATCCTTTACCCTTGGCAACGTAGGGGTCTGTGGGTTTCCCTACGAGGTCGCTTGTAAAATAAACTGGAATAAAAACTATCCGTGATATTATATATTATGTTTCTTCCACATGACACATTAAAACTGCAATGTTCCGTGTATTATATGCGTTATTTTTCAATTATATTTTCGGTTACCCCCAAGCAACGAAAATTTAATACTAATTATAATCCTTTGTGTTATGAAAAAGTGTTATTACAGTTTCTAAACGTAAATAGCAATAAACAATCTTCGAAATAACGTTTTAGTGAATCCACAACTACTATACAAAGCCAAAATTAATGGCGTGTATTTACCATAAACGCGTAAATCCAAAATATTATTTGTTTGTCTAAAAGACATATTGGTATAGCTGGTAATGAACTAGTTGATCGGGCGGTTAGAGAAGCAACTACACAAAACAAATATTACAACTTATTCACGCTCCTAGCTCTAATTATAACGCAGAAATACCATAAAATATTGCACCAGATTGCATCTGCTTTAAACAATAATTAATATGTTTCTTAATGGCGAAATATAAGGAAAATTAATTAATCTACGTAACACAAAATGCCAACGACATAATATGTGTTTTAGTTTGGAAGACAGCACCAGTTTTTTTTGTTTCACTCACTGAACAAGGTAAAGATTATGCAGGGAATATATATGCTATATATTCCCTGCTTATATATGCTTAGAATGATGTTAAGTATTTTATTAAACCATGTACTTTATTCATTAAAATTACTTTAATAATATTTACTGCCCTGTCATAGGAGGTATCTTAAGTAGTTTAGATTAAGGAGTTTCAAGAAATAAGTAGCTTTATTTAATGTAACCCAGTAAACTTTTTACAGTAGTATCTACCAGAGTGGAAACTAGTAATATAGTAACACTATACTTACTCTCTTTGTGAAGCTGACTCCTAACTTCAGTAGGTCGAGATATAGTTGTAGGCATGGGTATTTCTGAAAATAAATAAAACATATATTATCAGCAAGAAAATAAATAGATGAAATATTCTTTATCCATTCGGCAGTGAACCCTATTAGTCAACAATGTATGTAGTCTGTAGATTTGGAGAGATTAAAATGAGAGATTATTGCCTAAAAGTCTTACCCAATGTTGAATCCCACTTAAATACGTTATATTTTCTTTATTTTTGCAAACATTATTGGAAATAAACATGATGTTTATTTTGCAATTTATAAGGGAAATAAAAAAGGGCTCCCATTTTAAAAATGCCCGTCTCTATAAAATATAAATCGCAAAGTTTTTCCTTTTTTGCAAAACTTTCAAACTTCCTAATATATGGTTAATCTGTTGAAGAAAGTTTTTCCACTGAATATTGATAACTGATCGTAAAAGTTGGATGCTTGAAATGAACAGCTCTGAATCAGAATTTTAAGAAGAAAAAATAAAATTAAAGCATTTATTAAACTTAGAAGTAGTTTAGGATAATGGAGGAGTGTTTGTAAAATTATTCTTGTTTCTTTTTTAAAATATCGGATAAACGCTTGTGTAAAGTACTCGTAAATACTTTGAAATTTTTTAGAAATTATCTGTTAAATACAAAAGTTTTTTAATTATTCTTATTATAAGTACAATGGCGTACTCTTTTTTGAAAATAAATAAGATCACAATATTTTTCAAACAAATTGCCTATTGAAAGTAAGGCTTTTTTTTTGTGATTTTGGTGGCATCTGAAATAGGAAATCGACTTGATAATATTAAGAAATTTAGGACCAACTATGAGTGTAGAGACTGTGTGTAGAGCTAGACAGACCTTTTTTAAAAGTAGTTCCCAAAAATGTAACAATATACTGGGTGTTCCATTTAAAATAATAAAGATGCTACCACTTTTTAAATTATTCGGCACTACGGTAATTCGGCAGAAAAATGTAATCGTCGGAAAGTCAGCGACCGGTAGCGGATAGACAACTAACTTTTAATCCATAAGGATATTTCAAAATTTTTCTTTTTATTTTAGGTTTAATGTTACCTAAAATTCAAAACTTGATGTTTATTAAAATTTAATATTCTTCCTTTATCCAAAACGTTAGGTCCTAAAAGTTACAGGGTAGTGAAAAGTGATAAAAATATCTTCAAGAAAAGGATGGTACGGCTGTGCTCGACTTGGCGGGAGCACTACAGTACCCCAGGTAATAACGCTTTAGACATCTTCTAAGGAAAAGTACGTTCAAAATTTACATAAACGTTTTAGTATACTGTGATAGATTTTTTCAATAACAATGCGGATTAATCTTTCTGAAAACTATGTCAGGACCAATTGAAACCCCTAAATATAATAATTACTGTCAACTCAGATGTAATCACTGCCAAAATAGTATAAAATATTGTCCGATTATTTTTATTTTATTTATCTCTTCGTCATAAGAAAGTCGTTTTATTGTTATTACCTAAATAATAGATAAACAAGTAAACAAAAAAAGCAAATGTTCCTGAAAAAAATACGAGCGTAGAGAGGGTCAAGAAAAAATAATATTAATCCTCTCAGCTTGACTGATAACCGTCATTGCCGGTCTAGCCATATTTCAATTTAGTTTTTGGGAAAAAAGCGAACGTCCGGACAAATTACGTATTTGTAGAGGTTGCAAAAGGTTATTTTATTTATCCCCAAAACAGCTTCATGAATGTGATGGTTTTCCACCCATTAAGCCTTAAGTAAAATTTAGTTAAAGTAAGACGAATGATAAATCAAGAGATGAATATAGTGAATGTCATATTTAAGGCTAGGGTTTAAACATAATACACCTACACAGCATACATAATTATAACATAGGTATTTGTATTTATGTATGTAATTTTGTTATTTAGTATATTTTGATATTTATTGTAATTTTCTTATTGAAATACACTGGTGTATATTCAGATCGGTTTATATGAACATATTTTCCTTCAGACACACTATAACATTCGATAAATCTTAAGGGATTTTCTTGCAAATCCGTCTACGTTTTTGACAAGTGAAAATAATACTCGTACGCTTACCATTCTGTAAACAAATTGAACGTTGCATTGTGTAAAAACTGCAATCGTTCAAAACCCTATGACAGTTGTTTCTATTTATATAATTCATATTTGTATTTATATTTTTTCCACGAGGTATTAAGAAACATATTTTAAAAAGCAAATTTCATATCATTGAAATAAAAGGTTGATGCTAAAATAGGTTATAATCGCTGGAAAGTTATTATAATTCATCGGTAACTAAAACATTTTCCTTTTCGTTTAAAATTCAACCACTGCGGACACTAGAGAAGGTCAAATGACTTACGGTTTTTAAGAAATTTCCACTAACTTTGAAAGAAGAATTATGGAGCTCTTTATAGACTTAGTGTTAATTAAACGGGCGTAGAAAATTCTTATGATATGCAAAAATGATTATTTTACGGTAATTCTAGTCCAAGAGTAATTTCCACAGCTTAAAACTTAAAAGAACTATTAAAGCGACAGAAGAAAAATATTTTCGTACTTGTTCAGTTTTAAATAAAATATTTATGTATTTCTTTTTTAACTTCTGTCTTTATAATCTCTGTATTAACTACAGCATTAGTTTACTTTATAAATAAATAATTGTTTGCTACACAAACGACTTAACGAAGATTCATAAAAAATAGATTTAGCCAGTTTTATCGCGGCTGTTTTAAAAAGCTCCAATGAAATTTAGGAAAATAAAACCAAAAATATTCAGCAGCTTACGTGGTAATGCGCGTTTAAATTTTGTTTTCTTTGTTAAAATAGTTGAATGTGAGATAACAAATACATGGTAGTAGGATTGTAGGTTTTGCGAATTACCGAACAAAATACGTGTAACACTACAAGTAGTTAAAACAATGAAATTAGCAAGTCAAAATTGTTAGATAGATCAATATTCTAGACATAAATATTTCATTGAAATATTACATTTGAAAAAAAAAATATTACAAAAATCAAAAACCACACAAAGAAATGATTATCAGATGTTAACGCATTATGTGTTAACATTTTATCAGTTCTCAGTATATTTTTTATTTTTGCTTTAGATTGAGTAGCTCGTCCTGATATAATTTTGGTAATTATGGAGAAAATGGAAATTTTTCACAAAAATTTCTACGCGCCCTATTTTGAGGTCGTAGATTACGAATCTGAAGTTTTTTGGCTGTCTCTTACCGTTTTTCAGAAAAATCCAAAAATGTAACAGAATTTTATTTTTCAACATTTCTCATATTACAGTTGAGGGTTGGAACCTTTGGTGTTACACAGCAAAATCAAATACTAAATCACCACAATACACCAAAACACTTTTACTTTTACACTGAACTCGCGTTATAAACTTACAGTTTATAATCATCTGCTGATGATGCTCACATGGTTAGCGAAACGCGCGTCCAGTGTAAAAGTAAAAGGGTTTTGGTGGATTGTGGTGATTTAGTGTTTTATTTTGATTTCTCATATTTATAAGGTTTTCTCGCACATATTTTGTTCAATAACATAAACATTCATGTTTCTGCTATTTTCTTTTACTTTTTTAACCAATTTTATGCGTAATAGAGGAAAATTTGTAAACAATCTGAAAATGTTAGGTAACGTGTTATTGCTTTAAAGCCATATTACCCTATCTAAATTTAGAATCTAGTGGCCTTTTAGATATAATACATATTTTGATTTTTAACTAGTTAACTTGACTGACGATATTCCCACAAGGTTATAGTAATATTAAAGTTTCCAAATGTTATTTGGGTCAAACAATTACTTAAACATAGTTCCACAGTTTGCGCTCTAATAAAAAATTCACCTAGTGTAAACCCCGTACGTTTAAATCAGCTCAACTAACTGTGAATCCAGGTAATTACTGCTTATGCAACGATTAACAGAACCGAACTATTTTTAATCAACTTTGTGAGAACAAACGATCGATAAAATTCTGCCTCCCGAAAATAATAGAGAAGTTAGTTCATAAATTCTGGCTATCCCATACAAATCTTTACCTATTGGATTTTCAAAACTTCCTGTGTCTGTGTAAATAGCGTACGTAAACTTTTACGTTTGACAATAGAGAAAATTTAACGCATTAGGCCATTTCTAATAAAGATAATTTTTTTTTTGTTTAATAAAATTATTATTAAACTCCTTATTCGTTCCTTAAAATTGACATAGGTCGATTTACAGTTAACTGCGTATGAATATAATACATTTTTTCCCTCCAAATCATCTTTTGTCATATTTTTTGCGGCTTCAATAGATCTGGAGGTTTTGTGCGGACGAAAATATATATTCTTATAAGAACTTGAAAAGAATATTGATAGACTGTCAGTTGTCATAATAAATTGAGCGAAAGACCTTTGCTTTTTTCACGCAATTCAGGTATTGTTTCTAGAATGGCATGATAGGATACGTATTTGGAAATATTTTATTTTGTTTTCTGACAATTTTTATAGAAAACTTAATGAGATATCAATTAAGTTTATCTTTTTCAGCCTAAAAATAAAAATAAAGTTTTTTATTACCCGCCTATTTTGAAAGAAGTGAGAATTTGAAACAGGAATGCCGATAATTTTTTGAAATAGTGGCTCACCCTGTATACTAATATATAATAACATTCATCTTGTCGTATATTGTATTTCCCAACCTTTGCTATTATGATATATACAGCAATGATCAGAAATAACAAGATTGTTTTCCTGTAGCTTTAAACTATGTTATAAATTATCTGTAGCTGCTTATTTCGAATATTTTTCGACGTATCTAGGAAAGTAAACTGCAGCACCATCTATATTTTATGGCTCGTTAAATAATTGCACGTGAGGAAGCCGAAATATAGGTGTTTTCGATAGAGTTCATTGTGTAATGAAGAGTTAACTTCAACATTTGCGGTAATTGGCGCTGGAATTTTTCAAAAACAAAACGAACTAAAGTTCTCAAATTCTGAATTGGCGAATAATACTCTTTATTATTTTATTTTTGTATAAGCTTGAAATTAAATATGAACAAATGTTTATCATATATTTGTATACAGGAATATTATGTTTTGGAGCATTTGATATACATTAAAAAAAACAAATTACAATTTACATTGTATATCATACTATCTTATACTTTGAATAAGAAGACTAAGGAAGGAGCATAATGCTATCCATGTATTCATGCATGGTGGGCGGAAAAGCCACCATAAAAGCTCTCTAGGGTGGGGATCCTTGACAGTTCTGTTTGACGATTCATTTGACACATTTGAATTTGATTTGAAATTTTGTGTATTTGTCAGTCTTTACGGAGCTTATTTTATGTTATTTATTATTTATTCTACTACTGATAGTTGTATAAAGGTAGTAAATCTAGATGGAAATTGTGGCAGAACTTAAATTAACAGTGACACTATCGCGATTTATCGAAAAAGACTCTAAAATAGTTGGTTGTGTAGCGTGCGGTAGATCCCGGCAAAAATTGAGTGAAATAATGGAACAACTTTTCGCTAGTAAGTGACTATATAATATACATACGTGTAGTAAACCGATCATTTATGAAATTCACTTAAATTAACTAAATTATATATTTTTTCTTGCATTTTAGCTTTTATTTATTACTTGTCAAAGATTAGATGTCAAAGAATTTAGATACGTTAATTTGACTTACCTGCTTCAGTAGCGCATCGGATGTTTGTGTTAATAAATACTTATTATAACTTATCTATTATTATTAGAATTATATATTTTTATAACAATTTTAATAACTACCAACATTTATTCACAACGTAAAATAAAACAACAAATTATTGAGTCTACCCTACATCATAGTTTTACATTTTTTAAATAAAATTAGAACGACACTGATAAACCGGAATTTAAGTCGGCCATATTTGAGGCCCATCGCGGTGTACCTAAGATTTTGATATGCTCCTTCCTTAGTCTTCTTATTCAAAGATCTTATATAAAATATATATATATATATATATATATATATATATATATATATATATATATATATATATATATATATATATATATATATATATATATATATATATATATATATATATATATATAAATATATATATATATATATATATATATATATATATATATATATATATATATATATATATATATATATATATATATATATATATATATATATATATATATATATATATATATATATATATATATATATATATATATACAGTATGAGACAAAATTTATATTCCTCAATATTTTCAATTATTTTCCTTATCTTTATCTGATTCACGTAAAATATACAGGGTATATACAGGTCCATTAGTCCAAATTAAACAAGTTATTGCCGTTTAAAGCTAATAATTATTTAAAATAAATTTATAGACACTCAGTATGAGGTAGTATTAATTTTATTATTGCAACACATAATCTAGTAAATACAAAAACTTCAGTACAATATTTGGTTTTAAAAAAATAAATATGCCTAGAGAAATAAAACATAAAATTATTAGTGCATTTTCACAAAATCGTAAGTGCGGTAAACCATAATTATATTACGTTTATTTTAATAGTAAAAATTTAAAAAATGTAATAATATACAGGGTGTTCCATTAAAAAAAATACAACTTTGATATTTTTTATTTATTTGGAACACTCTGTACGTTTTGCAAATAATTTTAAAGTGTAGCTTTAGTGGTTCATAAACAATCCCATCACTCAAAATTTGTATAAATCTAATCATTTAGCTATAATACTCCGTGTCGAATAGCGTAAACAACCCTGTATATTTTTTAACTTGATAGCTAATGTCTGGCAATTTTTCTACTAAAAAATAAATATGACGAATGAAATCTTGTTAGTTAGTGGTCAAAAGTAATAGTATAAGAAATATATCACAAGTAAGTTGGTAAAAATCAACTAGGAAATACTTGTGAAAATACTGTATTTAGTATTTTATATCGGCTGCCATCTTGAGTTCATGAAAAAATCAAATTTGTGACTAAAATTAAATACTTGATGGTTATTTTTCTTCAAAAAAATCGAAATTATTCAAATCAGATTAATAGTTCGAAAATAAAAGCAAATGTCCATATTTCCGTATACCTCGATCCACTGTGCGGCGCGGCGGCTCGACGTGACGGTGACGGAACGTTAGCTGCGTTCGACATTACAAATCTATTACCTCCTCGAACGCTTAATCAATCTTTTTGCGTTCGACATTGCAGATCTTTCTGATTTTCTCAATCTGCTCCGCGTTCGGTATTACATTTGCGAGCGCTCCGAGCGGGCTCGATCTCCTCCGGATAATTTGAAGGAGCTTATCGAGCTCCAACGAAAAAAAGGCGGGAAATTTGTTTGAGTTTGTCGATCCGGTCGATTTATGGCAATAATATAACCTCAAATGTGAACTAAAGCCGGGAATAATATGTGGCCGGGACTTAAAGCAGATCCATAGCAGATCAAAGTTTGGTTTTTACATTATAACTGCATATAAATAATTACTTATACGAGATTTTAATACCACGGTGAAACGCTTTTTTCTTAACTTAGATTCATAGATAAAAATGGAGGAAGCTGTAGTATCCGTGATTGAAATTCTGGATGAAAATACAGAGATACATAAAATAAACAATGAAACATATATTTTCAATAAAAAAGGTAAGAATACCGAAATACCTAAATTAACTATTTTTATACTTGTATTTGTAGAAAGTACCTATGAACCTATAAATTTGCAATATGAAGATATAGAAGCTAATAACTCAACTTTAGAACTCCTCGATAAAAAAAGTCCTCTTTCGCCAACTGATTCAAGTTGTTCTACAAATTCAATACAAGAATGTAAGAGATTGTGGACCAGAGATTTAACTCTATATTTCATCAATTTAGTTAGTGAAAGAGATGAACAGTTTCAAACCTGTGTAAAAAAACATATTTGGACAAAAATTTCTTCCCAACTTAACGAGGAACATGGAACTACCTTAACTTGGCAGCAATGTGAAACCAAATGGAAAGGACTGACAAAAATATATCGTGAAATTGTAGATCACAATAATACTTCAGGCAAGCAAAGAAGAAAGTGGGAGTTCTTTGATGCAATGCATGCTGTTCTCTTCAAGAAACCAGAAATATTGCCAGTTGCTACTTGCAGCAGCAGCTCTGGATTGCAAGTAAATAAGTCAGGAGAAAAGATATTCAAGAAGAGTGCTACTGATAATGAAGAAGATAAAAATGAGGAGACACTACAAGATTCTAATTTTGTTAAAAAGAGAAAATCTTCGGCCAGGTCTAACAGCATAGAGAGGAGACATAAAGAAAAAATGATGAGACAGGATTGTTTTAATAACCTATTTCAAAAATATATTGATATATTACAGAGCCAACAAAGCAATAGAAAGCAAGAATAAAATAATTTGTTTACATTTTAATAAGTATTTATATTTTTGTACATTTTGTATGTATATGTTTGTATTTTGTTAAATTAAATTAAAAATAATAGTTTCTGTTGCTTTTACTAATATATTATAAGTGCCAAGAAAGGAAAATATACTAATAAAACAAAATTGGGGGGTATTTCCTTATAGAATTTTATTATTTATAATGTTTTAATTCATTAGTAGAGCATTCATTATATTATTCCTCTTTCGAACTGCTTGCAAATCTTCTCTTAGATCATCAACAACTGCATAAACATTTTCCTCAATTAAAATCTCTTCTTCCAATTGTAAATCTGCAATATCTTCCAGTAGATCTCCATTTAATATGCATATATTATGAAGAACAGTTCCTGATACAATAATTAGTGGGATTAGATCCAATCTAGTTGTTTCTAAAGACTTTAAACGACGAAACCTGCCCTTTAGAAGAGCAAATGCATTTTCTATCACTACTCTGCATTGTGACAGTTTGTTGTTGAAATTAATTTGGGCAGGGGTTAAAACTACATTATTTTTTGAAACCAACCAGTAAATAATGTGACAACTTATATGCCAAGTCTCCAATAAGATGATGATCTTCTGAAATTATCACAGAGCCATTTCTTATTCTTGAGTTAAGGTCTGACTTTCGAAATAAACGCATATCATGTATAGACCCAGGTTCCCCTGCGTAAACGTCCAAGAATATTTTTTGCTGTCGCATGCCCCCCTGCAATAAAACTGAGTGGTAGCTCTTCCTATTGCAGTATGAGTTAGGGTTTTCTTTTTGGTTTCAGAATCCTTATGTGGGACCCATCTATTGCTCCTATTATTCCTATAAACATTTAGATGAAACATAACTAATTAACTGAAAACCAAATTAACATTACCTGGAAATCCATTAATGGCCCTAAACTCCCTTTCAATTTCTTCTGCCCTTACTTGACTTGGCCAAGAAATAATTTTAAATTTCTTATTTACTTTTAGCAGTAGATTACAAACTCTGTATAAAATGCTCCAACAAGTACTCCTACTGATCCCAAAACGATCAGCTCAAAACAAGGTTTGAATTTTACCATGGTTAATAAAAGTTGCATATTGCCTCTGATATAACTCTGAGAATAGAACTCACCGAAAACACTCCAAGTTTGCCAAACACCAAATTGTAACCATAAGTTGCTTATCAAGTGGCACAGGCACTGTTCCACAATGAACTGTGGAGTCAGAAACGCTATATAACTTGCCAAGTAAGTCTTCAAATGTACAAAGGTTTATTCTAAAATGAGATTTAAATGTTTTATCTGAAAGTCGTGGCACAATTTCTTCAGCATATTGTTGTACCCTTGGAGCTCTTTCTACTTCTGTTTCACTATCACTGCTGTCAAAAAATATACTGTTCGCAAAATTTAACATCAGACCTATTGCCTGGTCTGTGTTTATATCCATTTTAGGCAGATTTAAATGGAAAGTCTTTTTCTCTTTTTTTTTCTTAATTGAGGTTATATCACCGAACCACACAGAAAATAGGTTATATTTATAGTATTTTTGAACAGAAAGGCTCTGACAGCTCCGAAAACGTTCGTCTTCAAAATCGCATATCCGAATACTCCGCAATCACGTGATTTAACTCGGCCTCTGCCCGCCCTCATCTGCGATTTGTAATGTCGAACGCAGCTGTTATAGTGAGTGCTAATTGGCGCTTAATAGATGAACTTTAAAATTTCCCACGAACATGGTGTTTTGGGTTAAAATTTCCCTTTTTCTTTGGATCTCGAAATTTCCCACAAATCGGGATATTTCAGAATTTTTATAACAGACATATATCTAGTAATTTTTATTTCCAATTCAAATTATCTATTAATTTTATCCAAAAATAAGGTTTAACCAAAATGAGATTTAATTTGTTTAAGTGGCAAGTTTACAGTTACGGTTGCTAATTGGTGATTACGTAGTAAATTCATCGTTAGCTTAATACAGTCCCTGTGCAGTTCAATGGATAACTGCAAACTATATAGATGTAATTGAGCACTTCAAGTTAAGGTTAAAATAATTGAAAAGTACGTAATTATTCTTCTGTGTAAATATTAATATCGCATAATCAAATTAACTAATAAAAATATATTTGGATATTGCCCACTCTATTCTACTAGATTATATACTTAGGAACTTCTTCCTTTAATTTACTTGATTATAATTATTACAGTTGGGGGTTGGATTAAAATTTATTTAATTTGTAATTAATTATTTATTTAATTTGTTTAATTCATGTTTTATTTTACTATTGATTTAATTATAATAATTGTGATTTTTTAATTATAATTATTAAATTTTTATATTATATTTCTGGAATATAACAACTAAAGTAATTGATAATTTCTTTGAAAATTGATGGGAAAATAGAAAGTATCTAACGAAGTACTTAAATAATAATTTGATCAGGGTTTGTTTTCAGTTGGATGGATAACGGCAAATTATGTCGAGGTAATTGGGCACTTGAACTTAAGAATGAAACAAAGAACAAAAAAACTAAGTAAATTTCGTGTTTGTAAAGGGAATTTTATTTACCGTAGAGTCTGATGGAGCCTTCGGTTTCCCCGAGGGAATTTTTCGAGATGCACCGATAGTTGCCGAAGTCGGTCGCCTGGAGGTTTCGGACAGTCAATTTCATGTGCGCCCTGAAACAGAATTCACGAATTATTAATGGGGCAAAATTGGATTTTTCGCTAGCGAAAACACACATAGCGTGCTCTATATATACCTATATACTTCGATTGGTTTAAGCTTAGCTGATCTCTTGAACCAATTTACCTTTTTTCCAACTTGTAGTGGGTTTTTATTTGGACAGGAGCCACGCGGAACTGCCTTTTTAATAAAGCGCTTTTGTTCAAACAAAAAACCACTAATTTCTACTTTTGAAAGTAGTAATTTAATTTAATTGGGGGAATTGATGTTATATTTTATTAAAGTATAGTTACAATTTCATAAGAAATCATGTATTTTGTTTTAATTAATTAACAAGGCTTAAAATAAATTTTATAATATTGAGTCACGTGGAACACCCTTTTTTAATAAAACTGTTTTGTCAGTCAACAAATTTCTTGTCTATTTTTTAATGTTTATTATTGACTTTTTTTTTAAATTGCTCTATTCAGTTTAATTTTATTAAATGAATTTTAAGACTATTCTCAAATTACTGATTGAAACATGAGTTTACATTTATGTCACTTTTTAGAACAACACTAATAAAACATAGAGTGTTTATAAAGATTATTCTTCCAATTGAACAATTTATAACGAAACTTAGGTACCCTCACAAACGATAGTTTCAGTTCTTCAAGATCTCTTTCTTTGTGTTAAAAAATATATTAATTGTATTACCGTTGATTGAAGATATAAGAAAATGCGTAACCTTATGGGCGATTTCGTGACACGTGAGAATTCAAGTCAATCTTGTCACGAATTTGCCTATTAGGTTGCGCATCTTACCAATTCTTTCAATTCAAGTTCAAGATATTTGGCAACAATAAATCACTTTTCTCAAGTCAGTTTTGTGTCACACATCGTCTGTTTTACCCTTTTAATTTATCTTTACAGATTAGTGTCAAACTTACATGTAACTATTCTCTGTTAGGTCTGCTCCATATTTCTTGGTAGGTAATAACATCACATTGTCCCTAACCCAGTAGCTGATGGCCTTAGGATGAGCTTCGGTATGGCAGTCCAGAGAAACGTCAGTACCAGCAGGTGCACCAACCAGCTGGTTTGGAACCCATATCATTGGTGGAACTAAGATAATAGATATTTTTTTGACAATTATATTAAAGTACTTTTTTTCTGTTTAATGAAACATATACAATAATTTATACAAAATGATAATTGATTTTATATAATTATAATAATCATATTTCTTAAAGACTTTTATATTGGAATTTCGGGGACATGACTTTTGGAACAGAAAATAACTATATAGAAAAAGTATTAATATATAGAATTATAAATTATTCATTGTGGTATGAAGATAATAAACATTCATTTCAATAAACGCTCTTTCTAAAAAATAGGTATTATTGCACTGTTCAACAGTTTTATTACAATATACCTCTTGAGTCTACTGAATATTATTAATTTACATTTAAGTATTGTGTAACTATATTTTTAGGCATACATATAGGCATAACTTTAGATAACACTATTTTGTGGTACCTTTATAGCTATGTATAATAAAAGTGCTTTAAGGACAAAGCTTTAAAATTACAAATTTTAAATTATATTTACTGTTTAACATCTAGTCTTTTAAGATTTAATTTTTCTTTGTATAAATTTTTTCTCCAAAAGAAAAACAAATCTTATTTTCTCCAGCAAGTCCTCTTTTTCTTTTGCCCACATAACGACTAATGATTCAAAACAATTTAAATTTATTTGTTAGATATCTTGCTGACGTTGAGAAAAATGAACTGAAAACGAGCTCTCTCGTTTGAAAGCGTAGAAATTTCTTTTGTCAAGCCTGTTTTGATTGACCATCTATTTTGACAGGTTATTACTCTAACAGGTTGAAATCTCTTGTTGACTACTCATTTGTTATTTTTTTGCAGGTGTATTTTTTTTACAATAAATTTTGTATTTAAAAAAACAACTACTAGTGGCAATGAATTCAGAGTTTTTATAATAACCAAATGTGTTTAGCTCTGAAAGATATTTGTTATCTGATAAATACCCTTTAATGTATGGTGTATACGCAGAAAATTGCGATGAAAAGTAAAAAATGGAAGAGACCACTAAATGTATTAAACAATTCTATAAAAAAGAGCAAGCTTCCCACGACACGGCGGCCCCAGACTAAAACTTGTTCCCCAGATGACAGATATGAGATATAAACATAACCCGCTGAGAAATGAATAGCTACAAGATGTCACAAAATATAACGCGTTCAAGATGGCGGCGAAGGCTGGAGCAGAGGCTGTGTAAGAACATGTCCGGAAAATATACGTTTCGCTAGCGGAAAACAAAATAAATTGCCTTTTACCTTAACAGCAACAAAAATGATTTCTATTTTATATCTACCCCAAAGCGGCTGCCAGGCAGGTAATTTCTCTATGAACACATGCTTTTTAAGGGTTAAGGAAACGTAGAAGCCGTAACAAATTTACTCTGAACCGGTCGATTTGTTTTAAGACTGTTCATAAAATAAAAAGTAGGGCCGATCGGTACATTCTAGTCAGGGTGCAAATTAAAGGAAACATTTCGTTCCTGTCAGTGGACTAACAAATAGTCTTTCTGCTAAATAATGCTTAGAGACATCCACGAATATCGAAATGTCGATACTTTAATATTTCCATATTATTTAAATAAAAATATTTATTAATATTACCAAAAAACAATTAAGAAATATACAGGGTGGTCCGAACTGTATTCTGGAAACTTCGGCAGCATATATTACTTCATAAATTATTTGGAAAAAATCGAAATAAAAATGAAAATTCTACACCCTGTATCTCCAAAACTAAGCATTTTAGGACATACATTTATAAGAACTTTTTTACTTATTTTTATCTGCAGAATATACTGCCAAAATTTCCGGAATACACTTCGGACCACCCGGTATATCGTACTGTTTTACACGCATTATTGGGTGCCGATTTGTGTGTGTACGAATAGTCAATACGATCAAGACGAATGAAGAAAGAAGAGCAAGTATTATTTATTATATAGCGATTTACTTCTAAACATGTAATCACCGGACTTCGCTTGCCGATAGGGCATACAGGGTGTCCCAGGCTGAGCGTGCATTAGAACTTTCTAGAGAACTACAACAGCTAGCTGGGAGATTTTTTTGCACATCATAGTTTCACAACGAGATCCATCGATTAAAAATATTTTCGATATGGCTGCACTTCCGAAAATACCGGAAGTTGACAGCAACTTTCTTATTTTAAATGGGTGTCCCCTTTTTTTATTATGTACTTAAATTCTCTGTAAAATTTTATGAATCTTGATATTAAACACTCTATATCTAACATTGACCGTTTTTGAGAGAAAAAATATTTAAAATTTTTGAACGAAAAAAACTGCCTGTCAAAAATATGTGTATAGCCTAAATGTCAAATTTAGTGATTACCACAGCCACTGTGCCATAAAGAGAAAACATGTGGCTATATGTTTCAAAAATTAAATTGTTTGAATGTCATATAATAATGGCCGCAGCTGTCATAGAATTGAGCGATTAAAAATAATTATAAAATTATTATAAATAATTTTTTTCAAAAGGAAACCAACTTTTTTATTTCACTAGTGAAAAGCCTTTTAAATTCGTAACTTTTTGACTATAAATGTTCCTATACCTAAAATAGATCGTTTTTAAATAAATAAATAAATAAATAAATGCCTTTATTGTCAAAAAATTTTTCAATTTGTGGACAAAGGTAAACTAACAAACAAAGTAAAAAAAAACAAGGTACACAAACAGACAAACAAAAGATAATACAAAACATTATACAAATAATATTGTCAGTCTTATTGTTAAAATAAACATATATAAATGTTTACAATGTCAAAGAACAAAAAAAATTAAAATAATATTCAAAAATATTTAGCCAGTTTATAGCAAAATATCAATGACCTCTAAATAAATTAATTTCGATGTCATTAGTAAATATAGCAATAGCAAACATTAGACCAGTGTTTTCAAGATCAAATTCGATTTTCAATTCAAATATAATTCATTAACGGCGTAGAAAGCCTTGTCTAGTAAATAAGAGTTCAATGCTTTGCGAAATGAAAAAAATGATGTTATGGATTTGATTTCAAATGGCAGGTGATTGTGCATTTTTTTCGAGTTGTATAATATTGAACTTTTAACTAACTCTGAGCGTGGGGTAGGTAGATAAAGATCTTGCTCCGCGTTCCTGAGTGGATAAGTGTGAGATGGCCTTTCTTGAGAAGCTGATACATGTTTACGTATTAGGCAAACGGATTCAAATATAAATAAGGAAGGAAGAGTCAATATTTTTAATTCTCTAAAAAAGCCCCGGCAATGAGTTCTGCTGTTTAGTCCCAGTGAATATCGAACAGCTCTCTTCTGGAGCTTGAAAATGCGGTCAAATTGAGCCGCACAACACGTACCCCAGAATGGAAGGGCATACCTGAGGTGCGACTCAAAAAGTGCATAATAAACAGTTCTAGCCACTGACAAGTTAAGCTCCTTAGAAACAGACCTTAATGCAAAACAGGCAGAGCTCAATTTTTTCGACAAAGCTTCGATATGTATGTCCCATTTCAGAGAATTGTCCACAACAAGCCCTAAGAATTTTACGGATTTTACGACGTCAATGGTGGTGTTGTCAAGTACAAAAGGCTGCAACGAGTTTTTATACGACAAAGCCTTAGTTTTAGAAATGTTGAGACTCAGGAGGTTCGAATCGCACCAAGATTTAATGGTGATTAAGTCATTTGATATAATCCTATGAAGTGCCGCGATGTCCTTGTTGCTCCAAGTGAAGCTAGTGTCGTCCGCAAAAAGACATATTTTGCCACTGATGTTTATGTTAGCAATGTCGTTAATAAAAAGAAGAAACAAAATAGGGCCTAGTACTGAGCCTTGTGGTACTCCACATTCTATTGGCTTGCTAGAAGACAACGTGGTATCCACCCTCACAAGTTGACTTCTGTTGCTCAGATACGACTTAAACCATTCGAGAGATGATCCCCTGAACCCATAGTGCTGCAGTTTATTAATTAGGATCTTATGATTTACACAATCGAACGCCTTAGAAAAATCACAGAAAATTGTTGCTGTAGAATGATGGTTGTTTAGGCTGGAGTAAACTTTATTAAGGAGGAAAAAGTTTTAAGTTTGTTTAATTAAAGATTTAGCTTTAAGGCGTATATTTTTCTTGATTTTAACCAGTAACCTATGACTTTAAACGTCAAGTGATGTAAAACAATAGATTTGGCGATATCATATTGTGACGCTTTGTTCAAAAAGCAGCATCATTTCCGAGCCAACTTTGCGCTGTTTTTTTTTTCGATCATACGAAATATTATTAATAATATCAACTATTAGATATCACTAAAGAGTGAAAATACGAGATATATACATAAATAAATACACTTTTTAAACTCTCAAGGGGGGCGGGCAGTATTTATAATATAGGAAATACAAATAATTTGTTTTCTGACAGATGGAAAGAAATTGTCTGACTGTTTGACACTTAATGTCAAAGGAAGCTAGATGAAATGAAGAAAAATATACGTTTTCAAACTAAATCTTAAATAACTTAAAAACGATTTATTTTAGGTATAGGAACATGTATAGTTAAAAAGTAACGAATTGAAAAACCGTTTCATTAGTGAAATAAAAAGAGTGGATTTCCATTTCCATTCTCATTTCCATGACAGCTACCGCCATTATTATATGACATTTGAACAATTTAATTTTTGAAATAGATAGCCACATGTCTTCTCTTTGTCACAGTGGCTGTGGTAATCATTAAATTTGACTTTTAGGCTATACAATTTTTTTTGACAGGTAGTTTTTTCGTCCAAAAATTTAAAATTTGTTTTTTCTCAAAAACGGTTAATGTTATATATAGAGTGTTTAACATCAATATTCATAGAACTTTACAGAGAATTTAAGTAGGTAATAAAAAATGGGGGCACCTATTTAAAATAAGAAAGTTGCTGTCAACTTCCGGTATTTCCGGAAGTGCCGCCATATTGAAAATATTTTTAATCGATAGATCTCGTTGTAAAACAATGATGTGCAAAAAATCTCCGATCTAGATATTGTGGTTCTCTAGAAACTTCTAATGCACGCTTAGCCTGGGACACCCTGTATATCCAATATCCTTCTACATGCTCTTAACTCAAAGCAGAAGAATATTTTTTGCCGAGTTGTCATCAATCATATCTATGTACTTCCACGGCACGTCCGTGTCTAAATGTTTTAAAAATGTATAGTTTAAAAAATATTTTCAGTGTGAAATTCCGTCGGCATCACAAATACAGAAGTCAGCCTGCACTGGTCGCAGTCATTTTTTCAGCCATTTTATATGCTCACAACTCCCTAAATAATTCAGTGTGTTTTCTCTTTTTTCTACTCTATTACGCCTTTAATATTTAACGGAGCGTCTGCGTGTCTTTTTGTGTTTCGTTTACTTTTATAATTTGTCCTCATTCCGATATGTCTGCGACTTTATTTATTTATCTTACTTTTTCCATTCTAAACATCTGCAAGTCATTTGGGAGGTATGTTTAATAATGCGGCTTGTTGCTTGGGTATATATTGAATTTCTCTCTCAGGGCGCTCATTTTTTCTTAAAATTTTTCCTGGTTCTTCAAATAATTCTTATTGTAGCAGTTATTTCGTATTTAAATTCCAAAATAAAATAAGAATATAAAGATTTGATGTCTATACTAAAAAACAGTCAGGATATTAAATAGGAACGCTGATTAAGACAATTTGTTGTTGATCATGTTATATTATGCTAACTCTATATGCTACCACTCATTGTTTTTATAGATTTAAGAAGTACATATTATAGAATAAAAAACCAAATAATATTTAGTGAATTGTAAAGTTCTTAAAATTAAAGTTTATACATGAATGCATAATTCAAAATTTATTTTTGGTAGATATTACATTAGATACTCGTATATCTGTGAGGTTCATTGAAATAATATTTTCCCATAACACAAGATGATCTAAGTTGGCTTTGCAGTCAATTCTCAATTACAATCGAAAATTTGCATCAAACCCTAACTGTAAATATATTGAGTAACTCAGTGATTTGAAAGACGAAGGAAATTTGAATAGCTAAAAACAAATCCTAAAAAAATAAAGATGGGTTTATATTATAACCCTTATACAGAAAACAAAAAGTAATATTAAGTGATAATAATGCTTTATATATACATATATACAGGGTGTTTCAAAACAAATGCGAAAAACTTCAGGGTGATTCCTTGTTCAAAATAAAGGGTAGTTTGCTTCATAAATATTGGGTCAAAAGTCAACCATTAGGGAGATATCGCGGTACAAAGATGGCGGAAAAATAATGTTTTTATTTTTTATCTTGAAAACGAAATGAGATAGACTAATAACATTTTATGGAAGCATTACTGTTATGAAAACACACTTTCTAGTAATTTTTTCACTTTTTTAAAATAAGTGGAAGGGGTTGAAATGACCTACCCCTATCATTCTTGTTAACGAAATTTAAAGAAAAATCTTATCAAACACATGCAAAAAAATTAATCGTTATTATCGTTATTATCACTAGATTCTTAATCTAAAAATGTTCTTTGTCCTGACATGTAATGCTTTACATTTTATTTTTTAATTTCTAATCGGTGAGTTTTATCAAAAAAACACAAGAGATAAAAAAGTTTCTAAACAAACTAATCTATCCAAATTAAAGCATTTGCATGTGTTTGATAAGATTTTTCTTTAAATTTCGTTAACAAGAATGATAGGGGTAGTTTATTTCAACCCCTTCCACTCATTTTAAAAAAGTAAAAAAATTACCTGAAAGTGTTTTTTCATAACAGTAATGCTTCCATAAAATTTCATTAGTCTATCTCTTTTCGTTTTCAAGATAAAAAATAAAAACATTATTTTTCCGCCATCTTTGTACCGCGATATCTCCCTAATGGTTGACTTTTGATCCAACGTTTATAAAGCACTTTATTTTGAACAAGGAATCACCCCCTAAAGTTTTTCGCATTTGTTTTGAAACACCCTGTATATATAGTAAAGGCACCTCACAGTATTACTAGAGCTTGTAGTTTACTCGTATACATCTACTATAATAGTGTGTAGGTGTTAAATTTGGCCTTAGAGACCCCGAACTTTCATTCCATAAGGAAATCACTAAATGAGCGAATGGTGGTCCAGATTCTCGGCTAAATTACAGGAAATAGTAAGCAGTAACCACTGTTGGTTAAGGTAATATTTTTATATCACAGTATTTCGGTAATTTTGTTTTCAATTCCATTAAGATTTATTCTGATTTTTCTGAATATTTGTTTTTTATAATATTTCTCACATTATTTACATTGAAATTATTTTTAATTCCGTTGCAAATTGTCAAACTTCAATTACATCTCATTAAATATAGGATGAGATATGGCGAAAATCGCGCCAACACATGCCTTGAATAGTATAGTCCAAATAAGAAGTGGTATCTGACATTTAAACTTCACTCTAAGATGTAATATTTTCTAAATATAAAGATATTATATTCAATGAGATATACCGGGTGCGTCTCAAAAGTAGCTCACCCCTATAACTTTTTTATTTTTTCAGTTAAAAAAACGAGATTTGGTATGTTAGTATATGACATAAATTAGGATTGATTCACTTATTCAATTGTTTTCGGTCACTTCCTGATTCCGATTTTTAAATGGCACCCTCGGTTTTTTACTTTATTCGAAAGAAAATAGCACTCTGAATAGAATGACATAATATCATATGTCAACTTTTGACATTTTCGCATATTGTGTATGTGAAATTATAACTTGCGGTTCGTAACGAAAATTTCACTTAAAATACCAAGTGTTTGGTATCAAATTATTCGTAAAAAAATGCTTTTTCCAAATATGCTAATGAGCCACACTTTTTCCATTTGAAAAAATCGAGATATGATTAAAAATACGATTTAAACATTTTCTAACTGGTCAGGATAAGACAAACATTAGACGATCAAATCCATTTTTCCAAGGCTCCTTGATTAAGAATTGTGTTTTGTGTTTTTAACATAGCCATGGCACTCTAGATTGGAATTTTAAAATACGATTTTTTATTAAGTGAGAATGTCAAAAGTTGGCATATGATATGCCTTTCTATTCAAACAGGAAGTGACCAAAAACAACTGAATATGTCAATAAATTCAAATTTATATCATATACTAACATACCAAATCTCGTTTTTTTATCTGAAGAAATAAAAAAGTTATAGGGGGTGAGCCACTTTTGAGACGCACCCGGTATAAATGATTTGACTTAGGGCCAAATTATAATTTCCTAAGTTTATTCTATAACGCTTTTGAATAAAGTAATAAATACATTTTGTAACCATTATAGTATCACTTTTTAAAATTTCCATACAGTTTTAGTTTTTTTAGAGAAAATAAAAAAATATATAAATGAAAATATAATTTAATTCTAATAATTAAGTCCTAAAAATCAAAATGCGTTTCTATGGTAATATAATTTCGTTTTCATTCTTTGATAGATTGTTAGTAATATAATTTTAATGAACGACATATTTTTTGCTGTTTTAAAATGTTTAAATAATTAAAAAAAAGTTTTGCCATTTGTAAAGACAATCCGGGAATATACTGTAGTCTTTATTTAAAATATGTACTTACAATTTTGTACGGAACCCTTGGCAGACGAGTCCGACTTTTTTTTATTATTTTTCTGGAGAAAAATGAGAATTTTGATAACATTTAGACAAAAAAATATAAACAAATAGATATTCAAAACATGTCATCCTTCTTTTGGGCGTATTTATATGAATTCCGATATAAAGATTTCAACACTGGTCACCCTGTAGGGCTCGTTTCGCAGGGACACCATAACAGTATATAAACAAAGGTCTAAAACACTTACATTCCACGTCTACAACTACCCTCTTGCTGACTGACGGTGGCACCCCGTTCGTGGCGATGCAGAGGTAAACACCCATTTCGGTCCTGCTTATGCGGGTCAGATTCAGATGTTCGCCCTCGTAAACAGCCACTGTAACATAATATAATTTTGACTGGAGCCTTTTTACGACACTCAGCATGTGAAGGTTATCATTTTTTTAGTTCTTTTCTGCCCATCTTCAATTTACTTATGTATGTAATTTAAAACTTAATATATTAGCACAGATTATACAGATTATAAACTTATCGTTAAGAGCATTGTTTTTCGTGATTCCAATTTTCAAAGTCGCGCACTAGTTAGGTTACTAGTTTGCGCACATAGCACGCCCACTTATCGCCTCTAAAATTGTGCACAGCGCCTGACCGGCCCAGTTCTTACGCTGTTTAAACGCGAGTTTATTTTTGCGCACAGCAAATTTTACTCGTTTGCTCATCGTCATAAAAAACAATTTTCGTACCACGAATTAAGGACAAGATTTTTATCTGTATACATATAGAATACCTAGTCTGTGATATTAGTTTCAACTTGATTAGGGATGATATCGATATTTTAAATATTATTATTATATTAATTATAATTGGAATTATTCTTGGTCTTAGTCAGCAATTTAAACACATAAAACCATAAGTTACATTTATTTACGTTTCTACCATTGATAGGTCTTCTTCATAATTTATTAATATTTTCAATATAAACATGTAACAGAAGAAAAACATTTTCAAATTTACAGAAAAATAATACAAAAGCTTTTAAAAATTAAGAAACACTCAAATTACTTGTACATACAGGGTGTCCCAGGCTGAGCGTTCATTAGAAGTTTCTAGAGTAGTATAAGATCTAGATCGGATATTTTATGTACGTCATTGTGTCACAATGAGATCTATCGATTAAAAATGTTTTCAATATGGCGGCACTTCCGGAAATACCGGAAGCAACTTTCTTATTTTAAATATGTAAGTATCCCCATTTTTTATTACATACTTAAATTCTCTGCAAAATTTTATGAATTTTGATATCAAACAGTCTATACCACACATTAATCGTTTTTTAGAAAAAAAAATTACAGTTTTTGGAGGAAAAAAACTGCCTGTCAAAAAAATTTGTATAGCCTAAACGTCAAATTTCGTGATTACAACAGCCACTGTAACATAAAAAGAAGACATGTGGCTCTCTATTTCAATACTACATACAATATTGCCCATAGCTGTCACTAAAAAATTATCATAAATCATTTTTTTTAATGAAAACCTCCTTTCTTATTTCACTGGTGAAAAGGTTTTTCAATTCGTTATTTTTTGATTATACATGTTCCTATACCTAAAATAAATCGTTTTTAAGATTTAGTTTTAAACATTTTTCTTGATTTTATCTAGCTCCTTTGACATAACAGCTATGGCCAATATTATATGACACTCAAACAATTTAATTTTTGAAATAGATAGCCACATGTGTTCTCTTTATTAAATTAATTTAATTAAAATATTTTTTTTTCTCGAAAACGGTTAATGTTCGATATAGAGTGTTTATATAAAAATTCGTAAAATTTGATAGAGAATTTAAATATGTCATAAAAAAAATGGGGGTACTCATTTAAAATAAGAAAGTTGCTGTCAACTTCCGGTATTTCCGGAAGTGCCGCCATATTGAAAATATTTTTAATCGATAGATATCATTGTGAAACAATGATGTGCAAAAAACCTCTAATGTACGCTCAGCCTAAACTTCTAATGTACGCTCAGCCTGGTATAACAGGTTTAAAACAAAAAAAAAATATATTTTGGACTAGAATGCACCGAGATACAGACACGTCTCTTTACAACACAGCTTGTGGACTACAAATATGTAGTTCCTGATGTTCTCAATGTTTTTTTTTTAAGTTTTAAAGTTTTTTGTTAAGTTTTAAAGTAGTTTCAAAAAATAAAGATGAGTGAAATAAAAAAATTTTGAAACTACTTTGAAGCAAAGATCTCAAAACAAGTGTTGTCATCCTAGACCAATCAACTACATATCTATATAAAATAAAATCTATATAAAGGCAAGTTGTAAGTCGACAGGCTGGTTTTGAATAGGCTGTGTCTAGATATTGGTAGTTCTTGTTATTTATCGTTAGATATTGTCTAGATATTATAGGTATATAATATTACATCAAGGGCTGCATTATTTAGATTTAACAATAAACGGGTCGTGGAAAAATGTAGAATTATTACTGTCGACGGCAAAAATAGTTAAAAAAGAAGCCAAGCTTACAATAAAAATTTTACACAGTTCGAAGAATTATAACCATCCAGCAACTCTCGTTAGAGCTATAGGACAGCCAGAGCTACATGCATTAATTAGTTTTTGAACAAAAAGAAAGGGAATGGGCAAAATCAATAATATATATTTGACTCTTTTTAATTTAATATTTCAGTTTTAGCCTGCAGTTCTTATATAGAGTGATAACTTAAAAATTATTAATTGGGAATATCTCATAGTCAAAAGAATATATGGTAGATCATAATCGGGTACTGAATGAATTTGAGAGCCCTTATAACAAAATACTTTGTCTAAAAGAAAGTCAAAATTACTGTAACTTTTCAAAATGTTGCTGAATTTTCACCACCTTGTGGGACTGCTCTCTTTTCAACTAGAAGGTTGGTGTCCATCAGCAACTTATGATTAGCTGAAGAAGTAGGATTTTTGGGTTGCAAATTAAGTAATATCAAAAGAATATATCAAAACCAAAATATAACGAGACTCCTCTATTTTCAAATATAAATTTGAACACATAATGATGAAGAGCAAAAATTCAAAATGGAATAACAGTATTTACACCAAAAGAATATATTCATATTCATATAAACCAAAATATAACGATAACACTAAAATACCATATTAAAACATAATTATAAGGAGAAAACATCGCAGGACTGCTTTCTTCTGAAGTGGAAGACTGGTGTCCATCAGCAGTTTACCATTAGCGGAAGAAGTAGGATTTTTGGGTTGGAATGGGGAATGAAATATGACGAGAAAACCTCTTCTGAAGTGGAAGGTAATGTTTTGGTATTATTTTTTGTCTAAAAGGTATTTCCGATTGTCTATGAGATATGGCGAAAATCGGGCCAACACATGCCTTGAATAGTATAGTCCAAATAAGAAGTGGTATCTGACATTTAAACTTCACTCTAAAATGTAATATTTTCTAAATATAAAGACATTATATTCAATGAGATATACCGGGTGCGTCTCAAAAGTAGCTCACACCTATAACTTTTTTATTTTTTCAGTTAAAAAAACGAGATTTGGTATGTTAGTATATGACATAAATTAGGATTGATTCACTTATTCAATTGTTTTCGGTCACTTCCTGATTCCGATTTTTAAATGGCACCCTCGGTTTTTTACTTTATTCGAAAGAAAATAGCACTCTGAATAGAATGACATAATATCATATGTCAACTTTTGACATTTTCGCATATTGTGTATGTGAAATTATAACTTGCGGTTCGTAACGAAAATTTCACTTGAAATACCAAGTGTTTGGTATCAAATTATTCGTAAAAAAATGCCTTTTCCAAATATGCTAATGAGCCACACTTTTTTCATTTGAAAAAATCGAGATATGATTAAAAATACGATTTAAACATTTTCTAACTGGTCAGGATAAGACAAACATTAGACGATCAAATCCATTTTGTATCCAAAATATAACGAGACTCCTCTATTTTCAAATATAAATTTGAACACATAATGATGAAGAGCAAAAATTCAAAATGGAATAACAGTATTTACACCAAAAGAATATATTAAAACCAAAATATAACAATAACACTAAAATACCATATTAAAACATAATCATAAGGAGAAAACATTCTGAAGTGGAAGACTGGTGTCCATCAGCAGTTTACCATTAGCGGAAGAAGTAGGATTTTTGGGTTGGAATGGGGAATGAAATATGACGAGAAAACCTCTTCTGAAGTGGAAGGTAATGTTTTGGTATTATTTTTTGTCTAAAAGGTATTTCCGGTTGTCTACTTTTCAAATTTTCGAAAGTTTTCCTGCAGAACTTTTTGTTGTTGACTTACAAACGACAGATAAACATACATTGTGTTATAAAATGTCTAAGAAATACGAACTATTTAAGCCCATTACAATGAAAAATGTATTTTTATGTGACGATAAACTATAAGGCTCCCTAAACGCTATTTATATTTAAAACGGCTTCGCCAATTGCATTCCTGTATAATGTGATGTGCCTTTTTGAAGATACAGGCGAATCCTGATAAAACTATCCATTACTTTTAGAGCGAATGGGGAAAATCTTCAATCGGAAATACAAATAGAAACCATTAAAGGACCTCATTTTTTATAGATAGACCGACTTCAATTCCGCAAGTAAGTCTAGTCTATTGTTTTAATCATACATAGTTATTTAAAAAATGTCTATACCTATGTGGCGGATTCATCTCTCCAAAAAAATCCTTTATGGGTATTTCGCCACTGCACTGCCAGAAAATCTACAAAATAAAATAGTTATTTTTTGTAAACACTTCTGCGTTAAACCTAAACGGACACTGCTTGTCAGAAGTTATGTTTACAGTTATACAAATTTGCCTAACAAAGAAAAAAAAAACACAAATCTAAGATAACACACAGAATAAATTTTAATAACGCCAAAATTATAATGAAAGAAGCGATAGCCTCTGAAAGAAAAATAAAAGAGGCTTTTTTAATTCAATATAATAAAAATAAATGTATTGCTCATGCATCTGTAGATATTAGTAATGTATGGCAATCGCTTCTTTCATTTTAAAGAACATAACATAAATAAACATAACATACGTAAAATTTAAAAATAATCATACAGAAATTTTGGGCTTTTTGGTTTTACCTTATTAAGTAATTGTTATCAGGTAGTAATTGTGTTAATTTTGAAGTTTAACTTGGATATAATGCCATTTTAACAGAACGTCAACGGTTTCTTGTAGACGTATCTGTTTTAAAAAAGTAAAGTTTTCTCTCGTATAATTGAATTTAAATATTTTAAATAGTTTTTTTCCTTATTCTTTGTATTTTTTTTGCTTCCGACGATGGAAAGAGATAAACTTTCC